CCTCATCCATCAGAACCTGTCGTACACCGTCCCAGTACGGAACCTATACCCTCCTATGCAGGGTCAACAACCCACAACTTTCATAATCAAATGAGGCCACCTGGCCTACGATCCGCTCACACTTCCGGCGCTCTTCCTTCATACCCTCGACCTACACCTCCCGAATCCGTTCCAGCAAGGGAGTAATCATTATCATCCTCAGACATATATCCCGAAACGGAGCCGCCACCGCCTTGCGGCTAAGAGCATTGGCCACCATGTTGGCCTTCCCTGGGTGATAAAGGATCTCACAGTCATAATCCTTCACCACATCTAACCACCGATGGTGCCTCATGTTCAGATTCGGCTGATCCATCAGGTACCTCAAGCTCTCGTGGTCCGTGTAAATGGTACAACGAACCCCATAGAGGTAGTGTCGCTAATTATTTAGGTCGAAAACCACAGCCCCCAGCTCCAAATCATGTGTCGGGTAGTTCGCCTTGTGAGACTTCAACTGCCTCGAAGCGTACGCTGTCACGTGACCCCGCTGCATCAGCACTGCACCCATACCCGTGATCGAAGCTTCACAGTAAACCACGAAATCGTCGACACCCTCTGGCAACGTCAGAATTGGTGCCTTACATAACCGCTTTCTGAGAGTCTCGAAGGCTGCCCGCTGCTCAGGCTCTCAGCGGAATATCACCGACTTCTTGGTCAGTCGGGTCAAGGGAACAACAATCTTGGAGAATTCCTGGATGAATCTCCGATAATAACCCACCAGACAAAGAAAACTTTGAATCTCAGATGGAGACCTCAGAACTTCCCACTGCATCACGACCTCTATCTTGGTCGGATCGACCAGAATACCCTTCTGGTTGACAAGATGCCCCAGAAACTGCACCTCGCGCAACCAGAACTCACACTTGGAGAACTTTGCGAAAAGTCTCTCCCTCCTCAGTGTCTCCATCACCTCCATCCCTCAGGTGCTCCTCATGCTGCTCCTGAGTCTTGGAGTAAACCAAGATATCATCGATGAAGAATATCACAGACCGGTCCAGCATCGGTCTGCACGTGCGGTTCATGAGGTCCATGAACGCAGCAGGAGCATTGGTGAGCCCAAACGGCATCACCACGAACTCATAGTGGCCATAGCGAGTCTGAAAGGTTGTCTTCGGCACATCGTCGTCTCTGACTCGCATCTGGTGATAACCCGATCGCAGATCAATCTTGGAGAACCAAGATGCACCTTGAAGCTGGTCAAATATATCATCGATCCTCGGGAGGGGATAACGGTTCTTCACTATTACCTTATTCAGCTCCCGGTAATCTATACACATCCGATGTGACCCGTCCTTCTTCTTCACAAACAGGATCGGGGCTCCCCATGGCGAACTGCTCGGCCTAATAAATCCCTTGTCTAACAACTCTTACAGCTGTGTAGACAACTTCTGCATCTCGGGAGGAGCCAATCGATATGGTGCCTTGGCTATCAGAGCCGCACCAGGAACCAGGTCAATCTTGAACTTTACCTGTCGCTCCGGAGGTATCCCAGGCAAATCCTCTGGAAACACGTCTGGGTACTCCCGTACGATCGGTACATCATGCATTGTCGCCTTACCCTTATCCCAGGTATCCAGAACATAGGTGACATATCCTGCGCAACCCTGTTGAAGGTTGTGCCTAGCTCTCGCTGCTGAACACAGAGTCGGCCCATGATGCGGCCTCTCGCCCTGAATCACTAACCCTCCCCCACTAGGGGTCCTAACCCGTACCAGCTGCTACTCACAGTCAATCACTGCCCCGTTGGGGCTCAACCAGTCCATACCCACAATAACCTTATATCCCTCGCAAGGGAATGGGGACTAAGTCCACAGAAAACTACTCATCAAATAATTGCAGTGTACATCCCCGATGAACCCTCACAACCCGAACAGTCCTATCATCCACTATCTCTACATCAAGTGGACAGTCCAGCTCCCTTGGAGCTCCTACAAATCGCTTGTTGAGCACGAGCGACAAAAAAGATCGAGTAGCCCCCGAATCAAATAATACCAAAGCAGATATACCATTCATAAGGAACGATCCTATAATGAAAACACATAAACATAAGCAATAATCAATATAGATAAAGAGATAAGGAGAATATACATACCCGTCATCACATCGGAAGTTGCACGTGCCTCCTCTGTTGTCAACTGAAAGGCTCTACTCTTCGCCACATGCGCCTCCGATCGGCCCTGTCGGCCATCCGTAATCCTCAATGTAGCAGGAGCGGGTACCGCCACCTATCCTGCTACTGCTAAACTCGGGCATTGAGACCGCTTGTGTCCCCTCTGATTGCACTAGAAGCAAATCAGATTTGATACTGTGGTGGTGGTGGTGGAAGCAGTACAATCCCTGCTGACATGACCAATTCGGCCGCACCTGAAGCAGCCCGAACTACCCACCCTGCACGTTCCCTCGTGCAACTTTCCACACTTGCCACAACGGCTGCGGCCCTGCTGGCTCCTCGATCGGTGATCTGATACCTTGGGCTTCTTGCCCACACTCCCTGTCTGAACCCCCTTTGGTTTCCTCTTCTTCTCCATCTCCAAAATCCAGCTCCCTTTCCCGAGCCCTCGCAATCATATCCTCCAACGTCTTGCAGCTGGATCGGCTCACAAACTGGCGGATATCACTCCGCAACATCTCCTGGTATCGGGCTTTTTTCATCTCCTCGACCGAGATTTGGCATCGGGCCCCGCCCGGCATCGAGCAAAGCTCGGTATACATATAAACGTATCAAAAAATACACATAAACATAATCACATAACATAAACATATAAACATTCCTCGGGCCCCGCCCGACATCGGACCAAAATCCGGAAATATACAAACATTCCTTGGGCTTTGCCCGGAATCGGACCAAAGTCCGGAAACATACAAAACAGACACATGCAAGAATCACGAAGACATCAAGCATATAAACATTCCTCGGGCATCGCCCGACATCGGATCGAAATACGGAAACATATAAACCTACATCAGGCACTGCCCGGCATCGGACCTTGTTCCGAAACATACTAGCATGCATATATGGGCTGACATTAGTGCCTTCGACCCGTTCATACAGGAGAAAACTCACCTCATAAAGCTTAATGCAGAATCTCACGGTAAGGAATCTCTAACGGCTGCTCGAACGACTCCCCGGCTATCATTACCAAAATGACACTTAGTCAAAATCCAATAATCCTTCTTAGGGTAAAATGACTATTTTACCACTGATCTAATTTGGTCCATGACCTAGGCCCAAATCCATAACATGAAGGCCTAATTCTATATAGCTTTTCCCAAGCCCACTAATGGCCCACTTATGGCCTAATTTTCTAAATTGGGCCCAACTCCTCAAATGGGCCTTCCATTAAGCCCAACATATGATTTAGTCTAATAACAACCCCAAAAGAATGATCCAATAGGCCCATAGTAGTATAGTCCAAGGGAATGGCCCAAAGAGGCCCATTGATTTACGAACACAGGGCGTTCCCTTGTGGAACGTTGGGCGTTCCTTATCAATCCAGATTGCGAGTCTCAACGGGAACGCAGCGTATTCCCGAGCCTTATGCGGGGCGTTCACGTCCAGCTTCCAAAAACTGGCCATTAAACACTTAATGCTTAAGCCATGTTATCCAAACATAGATCCAAGCTATCTAGGACCCCTAGAATCATAAAGTCACGGGCTTAGTGACTTTGCATGTCCCCAAAAGTCCCAATCTCAAGAAATAGCAATCAACTTCCATAAAGATGGCCATAACTCTTGCATGAACCCATTAAGACCTTCAAGGTAGCAACTTTTCTGTCTTAGGGACTCAAATGGAACCAAGGGTGGCAACCCTAAGCCTAGAAACGGATTTGAACCATAAGCCTAGATGGCTATAACTCTTGCATGATGTTATCTCGGATCTATGAGCTCAAGATACTCAAGTTCCTCTTCACTAACTTCTTCTTTCTCATTCCAAGCTTCAAAACACCACAAAGGCTTCACAAGATCAAAATCACACAAGATGAGCAGTGTAAGGCTTTCTAGGGTTTTTCTGAGGTTGAGAGGCTGGTAAGGACTCACTAGTCTCATATCAAGTAATTCCTTGATTTGTTTGGAAAATTCTTCTCTATCTTGTAAAGAGTAAACCATAGGTTTTTCTCTAATAACCGTCTTGGGATTAATAAGCTTAATTGAAGCTTTCAGTATGAGACATAGTGTTCTTTATATAGGTCATAAACCCTAAAAGTTAGGGTTTACATTCAGTGCGGAACGCATCGCGTTCCTCAGGGGAACGCCTCGTGTTCGGACTCCGCCTCCAAAATCCTGATTTGGCAGAAATAGTCCCTTATTCCTCCAAACTTACTAATTACAAGGTCCTAAAGCAATAATTCAATATATAAAGGACCAAAATGTAAATAATACATGGACTGAGCGTTACAAATGGAGTGGAGGTTGAAGAGAATACCCTAGGGCATGAGATAAGGTCCTTAAATATGAAGAGAACCCTAAAATTTGTGGGCTTGGGCTACAACCATCCTCACGGCGTGACCATCCTCTTGCCACGTCGTGACAATCCCTCATGGATACACATTTCATTTTTGACTTGTCACGTCGTGACACCCGGTTTTACCCAAAAATTATGCATTTGACTCTCTGGTGCCCTAAACTGATCCGTTCTGGAAACTGGGTGTTACATAGACATTATTTCCATCACTCTAGAGTTCTTTCATTATAATAATTATTCTCTTTCTATCGATACATAAATTATTCATCTTTTTTGTTCATCATTTTCATGATAGTTAAACTTCATGTTCTTATTATTCTACACTTTAGCCGATCAAAAGGGGTCCAATATAAAGAGAACATAGTTTATAATAAAATGAAAAATAACAAGGGAATCTCCATAAAAGTCCTATTATTTTACCATAATTTACGAATAAGTCACAAACTAAATTTGATTACAATTACAGGTAAAAGTGACGATTTGACCTTTTTTCGGTTTATGAGTTTCATTGCTAACCTGTACGTCTGGTCATTAAATGAGTTGATGAGAATGATATCAAGTTTTACAATAAAATAGCAGTATATAAATCATCATATCCATCTCCTCAGCTCATTCAATAGTTAAGCGTTCAGGTTAGTAATGTAATCGGTAAAATGTGTGTTATAGGGAGAAAATGGTCAAATCGTAAACAAATTTTAGTTTGGAACTTATTCATAAATTATAGTAAAATAATGTGATGAAGATTTTCCTAACTCATTTATTGAGTAAATATGTCAGCAATACAAACCGGTAAATTGAGGGAAAAAAAGAGGCCAAAACGTCATTTTTACTTATAATTCATATCTTTCGTAATCAAGTTTTAGTTTATGAGCTATTCGTAAATTATGGTAAAATAATAAAACTTTAATAGAAATTTTCCAAATAACAAATAAATAAAAGAAAGATAATTCGGTTATTTCTAAAACACTTAATACTTATCTAACATGATTTTTTAACGATTTTAATGAAAACGACCATCGGTGTGTGATGGGCTTTTTGCCAACCGCCCATTTATGTAATTTTTTCAATAATTATAAGATTAAAGATTTAAATAACAAAATGTTAACAACGGATAACCATAATAAACCCTAAGAAAACTAATGCGACAACGAAGACAACAAAATAGTTGAAAATGACTAAGGGGCTGTTTCTTTAGCCACTTAATGGTCTTATAAAGAGGGAGGCTCTGAATCGTTCAGATTCAGAGCGTTTGGTTGAAGCCATTTTAACCACTTATTCGGTAAGAGGTAAAAAAAAAGCCCTTAATCGGCCAGACTTTGTGAGAGATCTGGATGAAAACATTCCCATTCATACCCTTACCCTAAAAGAAAAACGCCGCTTCTTTTTTTTCCTTTCACCCTTCTTCTCCCACGAGCTGCTCTGTTGAGTTTTCCCTTCATCGATCTCCGACGGTACCTCTACACCTCCGGCTTCGTCAACTCCGGCCTCCGGCTTCGTCAATTCCTCCTTCACGCTGGTAAGTGATACTCGAATTCTTTATGCTCGATTTTGGTGCTGGGTTTTATCTATGTTCTTGTTGTTCTCTCCATCAAGCTTCAACCACCGATTTCTCAGTTTTATGTATGTTTTTTGTTGCGTTTTTGTTGCTGGGTTGTTGGATTGCATTTTTTTGTTTGAATATTGGGGTTGTTTGTGACATCAAGCTTGTCATCTAACCCTATTTTTGACATCAGGATCAGGCCCATGAGTGGTTTCGACCCTTCGACCATCGGACCCTGTTCCAACTTCCGATCTTGCGTCAAATTTCTTTGAAATCAGATCATACAATTTTCTCTCTCTAGCTCTTGTTCTCGCTCAAATAAACCCTCAATAAACCTCTGCTATGTAAACATGAAGAGGGTATTTAGAATATCTGAGATTACAGCAGCAAAATCGGAGCTGTTGTGTTGCCACCGTAGATTTTCTGTACCCAAATCCCTAACGAATCAAACTACAATACCCACGTCGACCCGATGGTTTTCTACGGAAGAATCCCACTCTTTATCATCCAAAACCATGTCAGATTTATATGGACAGTTTGCTGATAAATGGGCTTACGCTGAGGTGCGAGCTAAAGAAGAATTGATTGAAAAAGTGTCTGTATTCCGAGATGAATTGGTGAAGAATGTGAAAGATGAAAATTCATTTGAAAATTTGTTGGAAGTTAAGGGGTGGAAGTTATTCACGATGTATTCTAATGGAGCTGCTTTGCTTGAGCTTCTCAGGTTATTGGAGTCTAATCCTCATTTGGCTATGAAGGTAATTGATTTTTTTTTCCGTCTAATTTGTAGGGATTTAATGTATAAACTAGTTCAAGCTAATGGTTTTTTTATGCCAATTTATTGGCAAATGATAGATAATCTAATTGTGCCTGATGGAATTACTAAGCAAATGGAATTCCTAATACCCAAATTAGTTCAGAAAAATATATGTCAAATTTGATTGTTCAACAGGGTGTTTGATGTGCCTTTTTAAAGTAAATATTTTGCATTAAGAATCATAAGAAGATTCTATCTACAAATACAAATGATAAAAACTGCACACATTTGCACAAAATCCAACCAATCTGCCCAAATGAAATGAACTTGAATGAACATTCTTTCTGAAAGCCCAAATGTTTTACAAGTTATAATTGTTACATACTATGCCAAGTAACACAATAAGTTAACCAACTTGTACACTTACAAATGCAGCTGATATTGCCATGTTAATCTGTTTGTCCTGCACATCAGACTTGGTGAACCTGATGAAATGAGACATTCGAAAAAGTATTTCAAAATGAAGTTCATTTTTACATGGTGTCATACAATTATAATCAGTTACATATATGCTATTCTTCATGCCACCTAGAATTGAATTGAATTGAATTGAATATATTCTAGCTGCAACAGTTGACTATGGTGGTGATCAGCAGCAGATAGATTATTCCCTACAGGGTTCAATGCAATAAATAGCAAACTACTTCCATTGTTGGTTTATTACACCATTTCACTTTCATTTCTTCCAATTACAGCATTGTACTTTATAAATTCTACCTAATTGCTATAACTGGATACATTTTGCAAAGTATATTGCTACCAGTTTATGTGTCATTTTACCATATTTTGTTGCATAAATTGGTAAAAAAAAATGTATAAGTTTGTTGCATAAACCTTCAGGTTTTTAATTGGAGAAGGGAACGAGAAGATAGACCCATGTCATCAGAAGAGTATGCAAAAGGCATCAAAATAGCAGGCAGAATGAAAAATGTCGATCTTGCCCTTGAAATTTTCGCAGAAGCTACAACAAAACGGATCAAAACCACCTCTACTTACAACGCCCTCATGGGTGTTTACATGTGGAATGGCCTAAGTGAAAAATGTCAATTAGTTTATCACGATTTAAAGCAAGATACGATTTGTCATCCCACATCAGCTACATTCAACATGCTCATATCCATTTTTGGGTATCGAGTTCTCATAGATCAAATGGAGGCCGTGTTCCAAGAAATGAAAGATTCCAATATTGCCCCTACTTTGACCACATATAATAATCTGATCGCGGGTTATCTAACCGCATGGATGTGGGAAAGTATGGAGAATACATACCGAATGTTGGAAACCGGGTCGATCCGACCCGATCTCGAAACCCGCTTGCTAATGCTCCGTGGGTATGCGCATTCGGGTAATTTGGAGAAAATGGAAGAGATGTATAATATAATCGGGGGCCCACACATTCGGGAAAAACATATTCCTTTGATACGAGCTATGATATGTGCATACTGCAAAAGCAGTAATAGGAATCGAGTCAAAAGAATCGAGGAGCTTATGAAGATGATTCCGGAAAACGAATATAGACCATGGTTGAATGTTTTGATTATACGGGTTTATGCACAAGAGGATTTGGTTGACCAAATGGATCGGTCAATAGACGAGGCATTTGACCGTAACACAAGTGTGAACGCGGTCAAAATCATGCAGACTATCGCAGCGACTTATATACGGAATAACGCGGTTGAAAATCTGGCGAGGTTTGTGAAACGGGCCGGGGATTCGGGGTGGAGAATCTGCCGCTCGCTGTTCCATGGGTTATTGTGGATGTTCGCTTCACATAAGCGGATAGAGGAAATGGAGGAGGTTCTTGTTGAGATGGAGAGGTTTAATTATGGTTGCTCTAAAAGGACTTTTGTTATATTGTATAAGGCTTATTCCGAGCAAGAGGAAGATGAAGGGTATAAACGTAAATTACATAGGGTGTTAGGGTTGATGTGCAAGCATGGGTATGGAGTTCCATCGTGACAACGGATAATTTTGACATTAATGTAGCATATGAAAAAGAAGCCATTAAGTGATTTCATATTGGTATTGTTTAATTTTCTTACTTTTCATTTATAAAACTCCTTTTGGATAAAGTATAAAGTGTTGTCCGGATAAACGATGTTTAAAATTATTCAAGAAAAATGTGGCACACTTAGGGAAATTTAGGAGAAGAGTAGATATGTCAAATATGTAAAAAGCTCACTTCCTTTGATTTTTCTATTCTTTAATAAGTCGTTTGTGAAATAGTCATGTATTGTCTAACAGAGTAAGGTACCTTTCAACTGCACGGTTTTAGATATTCATTGGTGAATATGAACACCAAACTCACCACAGGTTTTTCAAAATTCTTTGGTCTCATATCTTTTGGGCTTATTAGCATCATTGTCATTATACATGTTAGAAATCAAACATTAGCATTGCACTGTAGAAGTAAAGCATAGGAGTTACATTGGAAATAAAGTTTAAATCAGTAGAGCCAGATGTATTAATTAATGAATATTGTAAAAACTGATTAATGTTGTGAAATTTGCCATCCATTGGATTGGAAGTTCGGAACTAAGAGGCAGTTTCTTTTATTCTTGATGGATTTAATGTGTTAAGCATTAATCTCGACACTAACATAGACGTTTCTTTATTACTTAATCTAGACATAATGATTTAATGGAAACTTGGCTTAATGTATTGAGACAATAATCCTTTACCTATTTGTCTTTTTTTTTTTTCTCTAGCTCTTACATGACAATTGATTGTAAAATTTGGTTTTAAGAATACATCATTTTATCCAAATAGACATTATTACTTATTTAGTCACTTTACATATGGAGTAAAAAGGAAAAAAAAATATACATGTCAATTGGACAACATCCACTATAAGTAGAAGTGCATGGGACAAAGACTCATTCTCTCTTGTCTGTCCATACTAAAGATCTCCCATGTAACAAACTCCACAATCAAATGATTTTAAATATTCTTGATTCATTTGTGACATTCAATCATAACAATTTATTTCAACTATTTGCTATAAACAATAAGATCAAAGCATATGATTTGTAACAATAATTAAAATAGAAACAAGAGCCTCCAACAAATTTGTGGCTTGTGTTAATTCAACCGGTTCAATAGCCGGTGGTTGTAGCTGAAAACTATTTTCACAAACAGACAATTGATCGTTGGCCGCACGAGCATTCTCATTGGCAGCCACATAAAATTTTGAGTCCACAAGTTGCTTCACATGTATAAGGTTCGCCAAAGCAATCTGAGCATCTATCACACACCCTGAAACCCTAGCTTTCACTTCTGGATCACTCACTTTGTTTACTAGTGACTTAACCAATGAAGGCAAACCCTTGGCATCTTTGATAGCCGCATCAATTGAAATCTGTGCTAAAACTTCAAGATTTTGTGTTGTAGAACGTGGATCGGTTCTTAAAGTGTCCAGACAGAGAGATTTTTCATCTGGAATTTCGGTACAAATGTCATCGATTAAGTCTCCCTTAGTGGGAAATGGAAAGGAAGTGGTTAAAAATGCAAGAAATAGAATATGCATATATGAGATTTCAAGAGAAAAGGCCATGATGATATTGTTTTGATGCTTTTCTTGTTTTGTTTGTGAATTGGGTGGTATAAGTATGATTGCAAAGGGTGAACATATGGAAGTCAATTAAATATTTTAATTAACGTTAATTAATGTTTATAAATATTTATGATTAATGCAATTGAATGTGTAGAGATATTGTAACTTATTGTGCGCCATATTTTCTTATCCTTTTTTATACTATGGGAGTTTTTGGTGGCATTTAAAAAGTGAAGGTCGTATATTCCCCATAGCCTTAGTAACTATGTATACCCTTCTTTTTTTACTTTGATCGAATAGGAAATTAATTTCAATTTGCTAAAATAAACAACAATCAGAAGAAAATGAATAGTAAATACAATTATAAAAATGCATGTATTTCTTGTAATTTTGTTTTATGAAAGTTAATCAAATAAATTGTTATTTCTTGCATTTCGCCCCAAATATAATGCTCGATGGTAACTAAAGGAAATGCATCTATAAAACTACACTAATCTGGAAAAGAAAGGACTAACTTCAGCAATAGTTTAGTTATGGCTTCTCGAGGCTTTAACCTTCTTTCAGCAATAAAACCCGTATTTCCAGCAATCTCTAGTGACAAAGCAGCATACAACATGTTGTACTTTTGTCCCCATAAGCATAACAAGTTGAACATAAACACAACACCATCAGAACATAAAAATATTTAAAAAAAAATAAAAATAAAAACAGAAATAGATAATAATAAAAAATCATTCCAATTATAACATTGTACTTTTATTATTATTAGGTCAATGTACTTTAATATTTTACCCAATTCTAGCAGTGATTATTTGTTTGTGGTAATTTAGTTGCTATATCATCTTTTTACAGCGTTTCTTTTATAGCCTTTTGGTAAGTTGGTTGTTATTATATATACCTTTCTATAGCCTTTGAAAAGTTTAGTTTCTATTATTGTGTATCATCACAACGTAAATAGATACATTTCCTACTTCATCATGATTGTGTGTTCCTTCACCTTGAAAGCTGAAGCAACCTGATGGTAGATATCATTTAGCACACACACACACACACACACACACACACATATATATATATATATATATATATATATATATATATATATATATAGTACATAAAAGTATAAAAAAGGAACTGCATGCATAAGTAAAAGTTAAGAAACAAGCATGTTTTCAGGGGCTAAATGCAAGAAATAGCAATGCACTTCCACTTATTTGTGTATTGTAACTTGTAGCATCCCACTCTCATTTCTATCTATTATTACAGCATCGTACTTCCAATTTTATGAGAGGTCAATAATATTCTATATATGTACCCCATAAAAGATGTTTTCCAGAAAGAATGAAAACGAAGTAAGTAGAAAGTAGTTTGATGTATGTCATGCAAATGCAACATCGAGTAGCAAGTAATGGGTTTAGGCATAGCGAATCCGTGAAAGAGAATATGAAATGAAGTAATATTTTAATCTCAGCCAATACGTTCTGTTATATGTGATCGACTATTTAGTCAAATGTTTAGCTTTGAATTTGCTTACTTATGTGAATAGAACGTTCTGTTACTACAACTGCATCTATTAATCTATTATGCATGTGATCCATTTTCCATGTAACAAACAGATTCTTTATGTATGATATTCAACAAATTTCATTATAACAATTTGCTTCAACTATTTATTATAATCTATATATATCAAATAGTAGTAATCAAAACATATGCCTGGTAACAACCATAAAAATAGAAATAAGAGCCTCCGACCTATCGAATGCTTGTTTTAATTCAAGTGGCTCAATAGCTGGTGGTGTTAAAAAAGTATGTCCGCATATAGACAATGTGTTGTTAGCCAAACGGGCATTCTCATATGCAATACCATAACGTCTTGACTCCAAAAATTGCTTCGCTTGTGTAATACTCCCCAAAGCATTCTCAGCGTTTCTCACACACCCTGAAATCCTTTCTTTCACTCCTGAGTCCCTCACTGAGATTTGCAGCGACTCAACAAATGGAGGCAAACCACTGGCATCTTTCATGGCTGCATCAAATGAAATCTGTGCTAAAACTTGAAAATTTTGTGTTTTAGAACGTGGGTCAGCTCTTAATGTGTCTAGACAAAGAGGTTTATTGTCTGGCATTTCGGCACAAACATCATCGATTAGGTCTCCCTTAGTGGGAAGTGGAAAAGAAGTGGTTAAAAACGCAAGAAATAGAACATGAATATATGAGATATCAAGAGAAAAGGCCATGATGATATTGTGTTTTGTAAATTGTGATGATCTTCTAGTTTTGTTTGTGGTATAAATAGAGTTGTGAAGTCTGAAAATCTATTAAATATTTTTATACGGTTTAAAACAAGTATAAATGTATTTGGTTAATGCAATTGAATGTGATTGTCGGTTTATAGAGCTATTGTAACTTATTATGTGCCTTATTTTCTTATAATTTTAGAAATTAGGTCGTTCTTTTTTTCTTTTTGATCGAATAACAAATTTGTTTCAATTTGCTTATATAAACAACAATCACAATGAAATGTATAATCAAATCAATAATAAAAAATGCACGTATTTGATTTTTCTTGTAATTTTGCTTTTTGAAGAAAAAAAAATCAAGTACAAACTTGGTTATATGATTTTCATTTGGACAAAAGATTACTAGTGTATCTTTTTCAATGATGGATCACATATGAACATGAAATTTTTTAGACTTTTATTTTCTTTTTTGTCCTTCATGATTTGAATCGATAAAATATAAACAAGGTATCTCTTGAAATTATATATATATATATATATATATATATATAATATATATATATATATGTGTGTGTGTGTGTGTGTGATAAAAAAAAATATAGGATTGTGTTTGTGAGGTTGTTTTACGAAATTGTGTGTTTTCTTTTCGCCTTTAATACTTTAAATGAAAGATGTGTTATCTGTAGAAATTTTAGAATTATTGTGAGTTTGATTTACAAAATGCAAATGAAAATATGAGCCTGTCTACTTGATCAGAAAAAATAAATAAATAAATAAATAAAATAAAATCGGAAATAAAAAACAAAAGAAAAAAACAACTCAAAGCTCGGTCCAAAAACAGCCAAATACTGAAGAAAAAAAAAACCAACTCAAGATCGAGATCGATTTTGCTCACCTCAAGATAATAACATACAAGTCCAATAAAAGCTTGCGTCAAAAAGAAACAACACCATTAAAAACATAGTTGTTTAACATATCACCCAAAAGTCCGTGTGATCTTTGTTCATTCTGCGGGTTCAACTTTATAATATTAGTATTTATTTGATAGATTATGTTATTGTTTTCGAATTTTATGATTATTATCTCACATTTCACATATTCTTTTGTGAAGGACGCCTAGGAACATGGGTTAAAATATTGTAATTTTTTACTTGAGTTTTTTAACTTAGGAAAGTAAAAAGAATATATTTACCAAACACTTGTAGTTAAAAAAATATTTATTAAATAGATTGTAAAAAGTAATAAACATAATTTTATGAATAGGAAGTAATATACCTTAGAAGGAAGGAAGGGCAAATGGCTTCCAGCACGGTGATAATCTTGCATATGTATCAAAACTAAGCTGCTTTAGCTGGGAGGATAATATTTGCCGCCTTCAATGATGACGGCGATGAAGATGATGTTGTTCTCTGATAAAATCAAATCAACAATTTGAATATAAGACTCTTTAGATCAAGTGGAAGTTGTTCTCTTTGTCCTAATTAGAAAGGCTCTCCAAAGATACAACATCATGCCCAAGCAATTGTTATGGACTAAAAAAATGTAAAATACTCCCTACTCCACTACTCGTATGACTATTCTATTTATGCTAGCCTTGATATAATTCTAGATACTAGTAGATAGGTTG